ATTAGATTTAATTGAAAAGGATTGGAATTCTCCTTTAAATTTATGTTTAGATTAGATAAAATTAGTTTTTCGAATGATAAGTTTGGGTCGAATTAATCTCATATTTTGGGTGAAAATAAGTATCCGACCTAGGAATGGTCATAGGTTAGGTTGGATCGAGTTTTTACCCCACCTAAATTTAACCTAAAAATTAAATTCCTCCAACCACATTTAACTCGACTCAAGATTAGAAGGGTGTCACCTGATCTATATATATCAAGTTGAATCAGATGAGACACAAAATTTTAAAATTAGATGGGGTTTTGAATTAGGTGGAGCTTCTTTATATTTGATTCGGGTTAAAGAGTATTATACTCAAGTCGAACTAAAAGTCCGATCCATAACGATCCTTATGGATGATATTGAAAAATGTATATACGTGAAGGGTTCCTAATGGGTCTAGAATCCATGATCTAAATAAATATAAGAAAATAAAAATGAACAACTTGACCAACCGTCCAAATGTGCTTACGCGTGATTTCTTTTACTTATATATAATAAGTTGTGACAACTAACTAATAATTCGATTTTGATTTATCCAATTTACCATAACATTATGTTTTGATTATAAACAATGTAAATATAAAGTTTTTTGTTACTTTCAATTTAAATATCAATATGAATATGATGAACCCATTAAGTGACCTCAATGATTAAATGGAATGCTATTGTACAAATCAGACGATCTCAATGGTTGAAGAGATGTCTGTTATCTCCAGAGGTCTTAGGTTTAACCACAACGAATGTATGATATTTGAGCGATCATTGTCAAATGATTGAAAGCAAGGACGGAACCACTAAGGGCTTGGCAGGCAATGTGACACCCCAGCCAAAAAATTGTTTTTTTACCTTTAATTTATATATATAATTTAAATACTTATGGAATAATTATGAAATTGCCCCTCCATTTTAGAAAAGTTATACTTTTCCCCCTTGAAATCATGTCTTCGTCCTTGGTTGAGAGCAGGGCCGGCCTTGAGCATAGGCGAGGAGAGCGACCGCCTAGGGCCCAGGTTTGGAGGGGTCCATTCTTAAAAATATTTTTAAGTTTAATAATTAAAAAAATATTTTTAAACATCATTTTTATTTCAAACACTCGGAAACATGGTAAATATATTTGATTTTTATAGTAAACTGTGATATTTATGGTAAACTGTGATTTTGACTATTTTTGTCTTACATTACGCGTGTAATGTTCGGTGTTCGCAGACACAATATAAGGGACCCATTCTTGAAAATATTTTTAAGTTTAATAATTAAAAAGAATTAAACATTATTATTTTTTATTTCAAACACTCGGAAACATGATAATTCAGTGAGTCCCATTTTGATGATTGGGGGGGAAACCAGGTGTGGGCCTCCATTTATCTTTTTGTCATCACATCCTGGTTTAGGACCCTTAAACCGAGCCTGGTTGGAGCCTCTAGAACAGACACTGCATAGTAATATAAGATTTTGAAAACAATATTTTGCGACAAGTATTAATAAGTCTCACATGGCCCTTTTATGATGGTGCTGTTGTCGACCGAAACGCCTCCCAACAAGTTGAACTCAAAATTCAAACCCTGCAGAGACTGTTGCCATGCAATAAGTCAAACAACGACACATTGATATTGAAGCTCACAAACAGACTTAAGACCCACACAAATTTGATAACATAATCCCCATGCCACTCATTATTTTATAAAGCCTCCAAAAAGAAAATACCTAATGGCTTTGATTGCAACGCATGCATGCCCTTATTGGAAAATAGTATTATTAAGATTTGTGACCTAAATTTTATTTTGAATCGATTCGAAAAATTGTAGTGCGACTCATTTCATGGAAGAAATAAATTAGAAGAACGATGTGTTCGAACAAAACTCCATTGATATGAACCTTGTTAAATATCTCGTCTATGTACGAACGTACATTTTTTATTAGTGCGACTCATTTTAAATTCGGATTGAATTGAGTTTTGGGTAGAAAATATATATATATATATTCCGGTCAGATTAGATCAATCAGAGTTTTAAATAATGTTTGCGGTCACGTTTTCGATCGCATCGTGTTTATCATTGTTGTAGATATAACGGATGTTATTGCGATAATTGAGGATATCGCGATCGTGAATTTTTTTCGAAGGATCTGATTTTTTAAAATAAAAAACCTGTTTTTTTTTATTTAAAAAATTAAAATAACGGAATAATAGAGGAATAGCGGTCCGCTATTGCAGCGATTGGTCGCGATCCGTTAAATTGCGGCTGCAATCCGCCGCTATTGGTGTGATCCCGCTTCACACTGTTATTTTCCGTGATAGCGGTTTCGGACACCTCCGCGACCGCGATATAACGACCGTGACACCGTTATTCGATCGCTATTTGAAACCCTGATATCAATTGTAAACTCGATTTAACTGGACCCCTGCCTATCCTTACTTACATCGATCCATTTCACCATAAAACCTTAAACCCCACCTAGGTATTTGGCCAAAATAAAGTTAAGGTTTTAAGACAAAGAACTAAAGGTCTGTGGGCAGATAGATGAATAATTTTGACCTTTTTGATCTTCCATGTGAAAACCAGACGTTGATTTCCTTCACCAGCATATGGTTTTTCCTTTTACCTTTAACACCAATTTAGGATTTAAATTTAGAGTTTAGGATTTAAGATTTCGAGCATCAAGAATAAGGGTGTTCAGATCCAATCCGATCCAAAAAAAATAACCGAAAACCGATTCAAAAAGTCGATAATCGAAAAAACCGAAATCGATTTAGTGTTTGATTTTTTTTTAAAAAAAAACCAATCGGTTCGATTTCGGTTTAGAATTCCGAAATCGATCTAAACCGAACCGATATCTATTACAATGAAATGTTTCCATATTTCTTGTATAGTTGACTTTCCTATTAAGACTCTTGAATATATATAATATAGGTCAAAAAAGTTGTAACAAGATTATTGAAAATGCAAGAGATTCTTTTACCTACTGTTATGCTAATTTACAAATTATAAATGCAAGGATTTTAAAGTATTGTGTGTTTTTTTGCACATTGTTTGTTCATCAAGATTTTTTTTAAACATCCAAACCGTACTTAATTGTATCGGATCGGATCGGATTTTTTTAGAAACATCCAAATCGATTTAAACCGCAAACATATATACTTTCGGATCGAATGAATTTTTAGCCAAAAATCGATCCAAACCGACCGCGTACACCCCTAATCAATAATATCAGAAGTTATAAATGTTTAATATCAAATGATTAAGAGATATCTTTAAACATACAATATATTGTACTTACTCCAGATTAATAAAAAAATTAAATTTAAATATCTTTGAATTTTTTTTTGGCGAATTATTCTTATAAATTGTATTTTGCTATTTTGAATTTAGTTAGTGTTTGTAGTGAATGATTTTATCGATTATGATGTATTTAAAATGAATATGATTGTAAGAGTATTATTTGATCGGTGATTATAAATCATTATGTAAACATCATTAATTATTATGTTAGCATCGTGAACTGCTACATTAATGTATCAAATAGTTATTCACTTTTTCGATAATGTTGAGTTTACGTCATAGCAACTTGGTAAGCAAATCATTATGAACTCGGTAACCGTACCTAATAGTAAAGTTTGAACACATTTACTTTCAACATTTCAAGGACACAACAACAGAGACTAAAACGAAAGCATAGACGAAGTATAAGGACTAGCATGAAATTTAGCCTTTTTGGTTATAAAACCCCACCGACAATAGCGTGAAAACCTGGGCCGAAGTTGAAACCGAGCAAGCACTGTGGCAGCCCAATTCATGTCCTGAAAACAACCGGAAAAAAACCTGACACGAACCCTGTTTTTTGGAACCATATATGTTTTGGGTGTGAAACCATTACCAGGTTAGGCCTAACGCCATGTTGGTTTTCTGACCAAATCAGCAACATTTTCAAAAGCAAGGCATTTACAGGTGTGTGGCTGACACAATTGCAGTGCTCTGCTCAAGCTTTGTTCCACAACCCCTTTCACATTGAATCAGATCAGCGCACCCTTTTGCCAAGTTCCAAATTTGCACCACAAGCTTTCTGCAATTCATGGGACAGTGGCAACACCTAAAATAATATACATATAAGGACGGGCTTAGGACAGTGGCAACACCTAAGATAAGATAATGGATTCACTTATGAAGAAGCGAACCTTAAATTTTGGTATCAATTATCAGTTGATTTAGAGGAATTAAGTGTTAAGTAAAAGTTAAGAATTTAAATCATAGTATCGTGTAGAAGGGGTCATTCGAAATTTATATATTTTATAAGATTTTATTTAAATTAACCTATTATTGGTGTTGCTTCCAAAAAGAGAGATGAAGATTTTTGTCAAGGAAATAAAGAGAGATTAATTTAATTAACTTTTGGAATAGGTGAAAAGTATACATTTTCTATATAACCAAGAAAACTAAAAGGACTGAAATAAAGAATTAAGTTTTATATGGGCTAAAAGCGAAATATTTCATTTTATAAAGGGGCCCAAGAATAGCAATATTTCCGACCCAATAACACTTTACACCATTTTAAAATAGGAATTGATAGCTGCAGATTTAATTTAAGCCCATTTCAAAATTGGACACCTTATCAGAAGCAAGCGGTGGCCGACTGGGGGGTGGGTGGATATTGACGGCCGAAAGTTTCATTGATCATTGTTGATCCCATCCTTCAGTAAGCAGTAATTGCCCTATTTGATTCGCTACTACTCCCAAACAACAATTCTCTGCCAAACCCATCCGGCAATGACATCCAATCAGTTGCACGGCGAAAGTGACCCACCGCCACCACCAGTCTACCTTTGGGAATAGGAAGTGCTTAAATCCCATTGAATTGAACGACAGATGCGATCACTGCTGAAACCTCACTCGGTCATCGTGATCATCCCATAGATTAAATTAAACTAAATTAAAATGCGATGAAAATTAAATGAAAACAGAATATGTGATTACTCAAGAGATGGGAGATGGAAGATACTACTAGCAATAATTTTTTGGGGAAAGAGATGGGGATGACAGTTGGCATTTGTCAATTAAGTGAATAAATAAGCATTACTAGCTAGTCGGCGGCATTGGCCATTGAGGCGGAGGAGCCGAGCTAGAGGTAGCGGCTCCGGAGCCAGATAACAGATCGGCGAGGGCGCTCATGGCTCGAACCTGCATCTCAAGCGCCGCAATGTAATCAGTCGCTTCTTCGAGAATTACAGGTAACGGTTCCTCCCGGCAACCGGGAACCAATCTGCCGAGAACCTTTACTTTCCTTTGAACACTCGGTCCACTCTTCGCTTTCAATTTCAAAATGCAAACTCTCGGTTTCTTCGACCGGCTGGTCCTGGTTACGGCAGCAACGGAAGCGGCGGTGGATCCCCTCCGCAACGATGATTTCTTCTGCTTTCGAAATTTGAGCTTAAGCCGGCTCGTCAAAATGGCACGACTCCACCTCGTTCTCCCCTTAGCCGAGACGGCCAAGGCTCTATCCGCGACTTCACGGACGGCTCGACCGCCGTGCGGAGCCGAATGGGAAGGAGTACTATTGAGATTGATATTGCTCAAAGCTTGAAGAAGCTTCGAGGAATAGATTTGTTGCTGGGTCTCCGATCTCCAGGCGGCGTGGCTCGGCGGCTTTTGGTTCCCTTTCATCATCGGATTCTTCTTCGTTTTCCTTTTGATACGCTGAGAATTTGTTGTGTTCTTCACTGAATTCGTCATCAACGATGTCATGTCTCACCGTACGATACAGCGATTTATGATTCGAACTGTATGGACAGAAAAAGACTTCCGGATTTTAGATTAAAAAAAAATTCAAAATCAAAATTCTGGAAAGAAAATAAATTATTACCGGTGTGAAGAACACAACTGAAATTGAGAGAAAAGGATAACGGGGTGAGAGAGTGAACGGAACGGGAACGGTGGTGGTGGTTTTACAGAGAGCCAAGGCGAAAATCGAATTCACTTGAGGGAGGCTTTGGCTTTTTATTTATGGCTTTTGTGGCCTGTGGATGCGACCTTTGGTGGAGTGAAACGGATGGGGGTCGGCCAGGTTCAGCTGGTGGTTTTAGACTATAGCTAGTTAGGCAATGCTCGGCTCATACTCCTTAAAAGATTTTATAGTTAGACTCGACTCATTGCTCGTTAAAATTTTCTTCAATTCGTACTCGTTAAAAAAATTTATTATTCGACTCGTTGCTCGTTAAGCTTATTGCTCGCTTAGTTGCTCGTTAAATTCACCAGAATTTTTATTTTATTTTTTAATTATAAGTAAAATCTATTAATACTATATAGAACTTAATATAAACGTAAATTAATAAATTTAAAAAAAAATCAAAAGAATATATATAACAAATTCAAAATCTAAATACTAAAATAACAATCCATAAATATATTAAAATAATAATTAGGATATTAAAATAATAATTAGGAGTTGAATTTAGGGTGTAGTAGAATAATAATTCTCTAATAAATAATTTAATATTTTAAATTATTTATTAGAGAATTAATAGATTAGTAGTTTATCATCTTTTATTATCTATTAATAATTTAATAATTTTTCAATATAACTATTAAAAAGTTATAAAAAATAAAGAGTTGTTCATGAAATTATCGAGTCGAAGTGGACTTTGTTCGACTCAATTCGTTAAGGTCTCAAGCCGAGTCAACCCGAATCTAGCTTTTATCGAATTTTGACCGAATCAAATTCGATAGCCTCGGCTTCAAAAGTTTTTTAACTCGGATTTTAACCTAAAAATTAAATTGAATAAAACTTTTTTAAATTTTATATTCTGTTTAAATTTAGATGAACCAAAAATCTAATTGGATCCAATTTATGCTTATCCTAATATATATAACATATCTTTGAATATAAATATAAAAATGTTTCAAAAAAATACATAAATCAAAATCTTATAATCGTTTTCAGTGATAGTTTCGAGAAAATAATAATCCACATAATTTATCCTATAATTAAGTAGATATAAAAATTAATCCTTCAATACTTATTAAAATATTTATTATAATTTTTCAAGAGTATTTCAGTTCTAATATTTTATTTTAAGATAAAAAGGTCTTTAGCATTTGATAAAATATATTTTTCCAATAATATTTTGGCCTTTAATCTTTTATTTTAGGGTAATTTTTTTTCTTATTTTAGAGTGATAATCATTTGTTAACTAACAATTTTGATTTATAAAAAGATATTTTTTACTTCAAAATAAAATGTTAAATATCAAAATACTTTATAAAAATAAAAAATTAAAGTGATTATTTAATTTTATGTTAGGAGTATTTTTTTTAAAATATTATGCAATTTTCTAAATAATTTCAACTTTGTGCTCCACATTCCCTAACATCAGTCAAGAGCCAAAATCATTGTACCATGTGCATGCCAGTGGATTCCAAAAATAGATTAAATGGAGGAAATCTTAAAAGTGAAATATAATAAACTAATGAAAAACTAGTTGACATTATGAGGTGTGCGACATGATAAGCCAATGTGAAGATTGATTCAAGATTTATTTAAACTATATTTAGAATCAAACAATGAGATTTAGAGTGAGAAAGTATGTAATGTGGTAAGAAATAGGGGTTTTCGCGGTTGGTTTGGATCGATTTTTGGCTAAAAATTCATCCGATCCGAAAATATAAATGTTTGCGGTTTGGATGTTTCTAAAAAAATTCGATCCGATCCAATTAAGTGTGGCTTGATTCGATTTAGATTTTTACGGTTCTTGAATTTTAATTTTTCAAAATAATTCTTGAATTTTTTCATAAAAAATAGCATATATATATATATATATATATATATATATATATATAACAAAAGCTAAGAAAATATATATTTTGGATTGTGAGCGAGGGGCTGTGCTCGAGGAGGATGAGAAGAGGCGGAGTAAATTGGGAACGAACGAAAGTGGGCTAGGGTTTCAATTTTTGGCCAGTGAGTGATCGCGAGCCAAGAAAAAAGTTTCATTTTTTACTAAACTTGAAACGGTGTCGTTCTGCGCAGGGAGATAACCATTCATTGTAAGAGATTATCAGTTCGATTCGGTTTGGATCGGTTCCAGATTTCCAAACCGAAACCTAACCGATCAGTTTTCTAAAAAAAACACACACTAAATTGATTTCGTTTTTTTTTTGTTATCGATTTTTTGAATCGGTTTTCGGTTATTTTTTTAATCTGATTAGATCTGAACACCCCTAGTAAGAAAGAATTAACAAGAACAGTTCAGATCAAACCTGCAGGAATATGCAAACCATCTTAGCTCATCAAAATCTGATAATAATGTAATGCTATGTCAATAACTTCGTTACTCGATCTGAATCTGAATTCAACCTGAATTATCAAACCAAATTCAATAAAAAATAAAAGATTCATAAATAAAGTTTTTCGAACACGAATAAATCACAATTTAAATTTGAATTTAAACATGAATAATAGAATTTGAAAGCAAGAATGTTAAGAAAATTTATCTTTCACCAAGTAAAAAACTTTAATCTACTCAAACGAACTAGAGTAATTCGATTTTTATCTCGACTCCGCTCGATTACATCCTAATTCAACGCTTGATTGATTGCACCAACTTCATAACTTCGAATACATATAAAGTTCAGCAAAACCCTATATATGTAAATACATACAGTGTTTAAACTAGCTATAAGTCCAGTGTGATTGCAAGATAATCCATCAATATGTCTATAGTTATGTATAAGCCATTGTTATCAAACCAAATAGAGATAGACGGAAGATTTTATATTAGAGGGAGTGAGCTTACAAAATTTTAAAAAATAAAAATATTTAATTATAAAAGAATTTGAATTTTTTTAAAAGAATAACTGCTACTATTAACCCTCTCAGTCTGGGAAGTTCTACAGTGCGACAGGCTTAAAAACGGCTGTAGACACCCGTTTTTGTCCGGGTTTTTTATCGTTATTTTATTATTATTATTATTATTATTATTTATTATTATATTATTAATATTACATTTTACATATTTTGCAGGCCAAAGCCCAATACAACAAGGCCCAACAAGACCCGGTTCAGGCCCAATACTCAAACCAGGCCTGGATTTGGCCCAAGTAATTAGGGTTTCAAAACCCTAAATCATCCAGCCGCCGCCAGCAACAGCAAATGGACAGCCGCGCCACCGTCACTGTTCCGGCCCACTCCGATGGTCCAGCCGCCGTTCCCACGTCGCCAGTATCATCCACAATGCAAAATATCACCCAAATCAGTCACAAATTAAATCAAATCCAAAACCCATTAAAAAATACCTAAATCCCGATAAATCGGGAAATTTGTCCCTACCAAGATCAGGGACCCTTATCCCTACGCTAGCATCATCACCATCTCACCAAACACAGCAAAATGGACCATAAATCAAGTAAAGGTACCAATTTTGAGGGGGGGACATTCGGTTGAAAAAAGGGAGAGAGGTGGGATTCGGTTTTCAGAGAAAAATCCCATTCGATTTTCATAAAAAAAAAGAAAGAAAGAAAACTAATAGAGAAAGAAAAGGGCGAAGCCCTTACCTCGGTTCAAGGTCATTCCAGTGGCTGCCGGAGTCGAAGAAACCGTAGGTTCCGTTGTAGATCTACGGAGTTTGGGCCGTTTTCAGGCCAAACGGATCTCCGATCCATGCTCAGGGTGAAAGGGTGTTTCGAATGATGCCTTCCTCTCTCCTCTCCGACGCCGGTGAACGGCGGTGACCGCCGACGAGAGGCGGCCGGCACGGTGGAGACTCCACCGGTTTCTGGATCTCATCTCTCGGTCTCTCTCTTACTCTCTCTCTTCTCTGGGGAAAAATGAAACAGATGGCCTGTTTTGGGAGTTATTTGGGCTATTTATAGCTTTTGCAAAACGGCGTCGTTTTGAAGGGACGAATTCTGTAATTTCACGCATGGGGTAACTACACTTTAAGTCCCTTCTCCTTTGTAATGCTCTATTTAAGTCATTTAATGAAATTATTATTGTTTTATTTCGAGCCTTTTAGTTTTTAATGATTGCATTTCAGTCATTAATTTATATATTATGTTTGCTGATATTATAATTTGGTTGTGATATTTATATTTATTTCGTTTTAGTCACTGTTTCAGTTTAATGTGTATTTTCCTTTGATATTCGAATTTGGCCCATGAATTTATGATTATTCCATTTTAGTCACTGTTTATTATTTTATTTAATTACTGTTCGGCCCTTTATGTTTCTGTTGATATTTTAATTTGGCCTTAATATTTATGCATGTTACATTTTGGTCACTCTTACAGTTTATGTATTTTGTATTTTGTATACCATGTTCGTATAGTTTATATTTTGGTCACTAGATCTTCTGTTGCTAATTTTTATAAATTTGTACATTGTATTCTGCAGTTATATATATTTTATTTTAGTCCTATTATTAAATGTAATGTTATTATACTCATATTTTACTTTGGCCACAATGTTTGTAGTGGTTTCATTTTAGTCACTGATTTTGTATGTTGTATATTTTGGCTGATGTTCAAATTTGACTCTAAGATTTGTAAATCTGTTTATTTTAGTCACTAGTTTACATTCAGTTTAATTACTATTTTAGTCCCTACGTTTCTGTTTTGCTATTTTAGTCTTTTAATTTTCTATTTTTCTGTTTTAGCCCTTTAATTTATTATTACCATATTAGTCATTGTAATTATTAAATACTTACTTTTTGGCCATTTATATTTTGGGGTGTAACATTCTTTTAATCCCCTATTTATGTACTTTTCTCATGTTATGTATTTATTTGTACCATATGTAATTAAATATGCTTAATTTTATTTGTTGTAAATATAAATATTTATTTCACATATTTCTATTTCTATTTATTTCCATTTTTCTTTATTTAAATATTGTCCAAATACTTGTAAGTACACGTATGCGTAGAATGAGCGTGGAAAGTATCACTTGGTCGAAGTGGTGCGATCCGATACGGCATTTTAACGACATAGGAACTTGCAACAAGTCGATTATATTTCACTAATTAATTTGTGCAAATGATGCAATGTGTGTTATATTAAATAGTAATTTATTTT